TCAAAGCAAGACTGGTGCCATTGCACAGCATTAATAAACTTGCTACAGCCACCATTTGATTCCAAGGCAGCAATTCAAGGATATAGCACAGCTTAAAAGAATGGTACATTAATGAGCTGTTATTGTGCTTTTCCTTTGGTTTAATATGTTTCTTCCAATTCTTAATGGCATTTTGGTAACTTGAAGTAATTGAAGACAAATGGAAAAACTTCGTGATGCAAAACAATATGAGAGAAGATGTGTAAGGGGAGGGGGATGGGTGTCTCCTTAAGGCATCTATTTATTAAAAATCAGAACAGAAAAATAGCTTCTCTTTTAAGTCATTTATTTTTGTGTGCAGGACAGTGAAAGGCAGATCTTTGATGTTAAGGTGGTTAATGAGAGTGAGGATTACAACTGAAGAACAATGAGGATAAGTGGAAGAGTTGAGGCTGCAAAGTTCCTATTTAGCATAGCTGCGTTTGTGGATCTGCAGTTCATGGTACTGTGAGTAAATCACTGATGCTGGACAGTAATGCTGGACAGACACAGCACTGGGATCCCCTCACAAAGGAGTTGTCCTGGGGATGCTGAGTTCAGCATCCCAAACATTCAGCTTTGTTGAATGATCCAGGTGGATGCAAGAGGAGCAACACATGTGCCACTCTCATGGTCTGAAATGTGTTAATGTGCTGATATCTGTAAGTTCAGAGAATTTAAGTGTCAGTGCAGGATGTGCTGGCATCTGGCAATCCAGCTTCCTGGCAAAGAGCTTCATGGTCCTGTTTCATCCTTAAATTCAGGAATGCAGTGGTGCAGCCTTTGTCTGACTGCAGAGGCGGCACCACGGACAGCCCAGAGCATCCCACCTCTGCAGACCCGCACACAGGAGATCTGGGGGGCAGTAGACACCAAACTTGAGTTAGTGCTGAAATTTCTTAGTGCATAAAGAGTGACAGATTCCAAACTAAAGCCACAGACTCGGCTTTTACCTGTTTGAACTTGACCAGAAACAGCTGAAACAGAAAGAGGCGACGTTCAGATAAAACCGCATTCAGCACCTTCCCTGACACAGGTGCCAGATTTATGGTGCTTATGTAAATGTGGAGATGAATCCCTGATGATACTTTGATTTTAGCCAGGTCTAGTTGATATTGGACTGGGACCAAGTGTTCCTGAGCTAGGCTGCCCATGCTTCCTTCCAGGGGAGCATGCCAGGAGTGTGGGGCAACAAGCAGCAAAGAGTGGGAGCTGATCACAGAGATTTTCACAGCAGGGAGATGATTCTGGAAGGGGGGAACGGTGTCACTCAGCCTCCAGGGTGATCTTGAGACCCCGAACAACGACTCATGGGGGCACTTGACCTGGAAAAAACAAGGTGGATGAAGGGAGGAGCGCTCTCAGACCGGTGTCTCGCCGCGGCTCCCCCCGTGTGGCTCCGGGGATGTTTCAGAGATGAGTGAGATGAGGAGGGAGGATTCCTGGTGTCTCAGTTCTGTTATCGCACTGTAGCGCCAGTGGTATTATCAAGACAAATAGTATGCCAAAACTTAAAAGTGAACATATGTTTATGGGGATGGTGGGGAATACAGAGGTCACTGTTGTTTCTTTCTGCTCAGAGAAGACATAATGGGGCCTGGTTTAGATAAATTAAGATTTGGAGCTAAGCTCGTGTCAAGACAACGCGAGTGTAATTATAAGTTGACTTCTTTCAGGGTCCCTGAAGTTTTTAGAGTCAAATAAAAATGTTCAGCAAGAGTTTTATAATGCAGTTCAACTGTTTAATGTGAGCTCATTGCAGCTCAGCCTTGTTGGCTCCTGAACCGATTTTACTTAGATCCGAAAAATTTTCAGTGAACTTCCAAATGCTTCCATTTTATTTCAATGCTCTTGTTTCCTCTCATTCTGAACTTCATTTATATTTTGCTATTTTTTATGCATTTTTCATCCCATATTTCCTTATTTCCTTACGCACCTGGGTGCTGGCATGCTTAATTATTTTTTCATCCCAGTTAAAGCTGTCATGGTGCTTTTTCTAAATTTTATTTTAAGGTATAAAGTAGAGGCAAGTTCTCATTTATAGTAGAACTTTAAACCAGACAGGTTGATTTATTTTTTTAACACCTAAAACATAAAACCATATTTCTGCCTGGTGGGATTGTTTGGAATTCTGGTTCTGAATTTGGGGGTGGGGGGGAAAGATGTAAAATACCTGTGATTTACAAACTGCTTCCTTTGGAAAGTCTCTGATCTCCTTGGAAGACGTTGTTTTAATTCTGGTTTATATTTCCATCACTCTATAACTAGTAAGAACTGAATAAACCATACCTTTTATAATACTTAGGGAGAATATAAGCACAAATGCTCTTTATTAAAATGTGGAAAAACCGTAATAGGCAAACAAATCCATCCTGTTATTTCTCAGAAATGGAAGCACTTTAAATGCTTTGGCTTTCATAAAAGGGGCAAATGAATTTTTCAAAATACAGTACAGAATCAGTGCTGTAATGCTAATTGTATTTAATAATAGTAATTTAAATTTGGCTGCTCTCTGCTGAGCAGCAGCGAGAGAAAATTGTATGTGGGAACGTTAAAAGTCCAGAAGTGGAACATATGGTGTTCCTTGGCCTTCAGAGTCTGTCTCCACGTCCCCAGGAAACAGCTCAACTGCAGAAGTCTCTCTGGTGGTGCCCCTTCCTTCGCGCCCGTCCCCGAGCGGTGCCCGACACTCCCCAGCATTGATTTCCACATCCCGGGGCCTCCCTGCCTTTGGCACTTTGGTCCGTGGTCTCCTTTCAAATAGGCTTTGTGTGAAAATGTTCCAACCGAATTACTTATGTTCTCGTTCCCTAATGAGCGTCAGTCCATCTGTGATTGCTTGAATTCAAATTAATAAATGGGTTATTCACGACCATCAATCCCTTGCTCTCCAGCACGTCGTGTGCCCTGCGAGATTCCAGTGCCTTTCCATAGCCTTTCTTGGTAAATTCTGACAGATAAGCATGGCCAGCACCTCTTGAGAATTTATATCTGCTCTCTACCATTCCACCATCCTCCCCCATTCTGACCTCTGATGCTCGTTTATCACCTTTCAGATACCTTTCTTTTTTTCTAATTGATAGTTGCAAATAGGTCAGGTTTCAGTTATGGAACGTCTCCACCAATCTTCATAAATGAATCCAGAGTTTGGAGGGATGTAAGTGAAATAGGAACTTGGTTTATTTCTCTAAACACAGCCTTGTATTGTGTTACCTGAACTTGATCTCCCTGCAACCTCTCACCATATCTCCCAAGATTTCCCTGCTGCTGCCAAATGCTGTGTGGGTGCTGTCCGTGTCCTTACTTCCCTCCTTTAACCCCTCCCTTCCAAGCCTTTTCTTGGTTGTGCATTGTGCTCCTGTGTGATTTGTACAATTGTCCTTGTCCTTTGGTTTTCTGCCCTTAATCCTGCCCGTAATGATCTCTACAAGTCACTTACGAGCCGTGAGGCTGATCTATACCCGTCACGTGCTGTCCCGCGCTCCGCTGCACTTGGCCACGGAATTTAATCATCCACATTGCAGTATTCCCCCACCCCCTCCCTTCCCAAATCCTTCCCTGCTCTTCACAGAGTCGTTTTAGTACAAAGTAAACAGAAGTGGCACCAAAGCTGACCCCGCAGCACCCTCCTGCTTCTCTCTCCTCCTCCCTGCGCGGCTTCCGCTCCCTGGCACCCTCCGCTTCCCGTGCCGGAGCGTTGGCAAAGCCCCGCCACAGCACAGGTTGGTCACGTGCTTTCTAATGCTGCAGATCTCCCTCCTGTACAATAAAATATCAGATACTTTCCTGCAGTACAGATACAGTAAACTCTGGCCATTGTTCCTGCCTTATCTCCCGAATCAATAATGCAGAGAAAGAATTCAAGGACGTTTTTCAGACAGGACCTTCCTTTTTTAGGCCCTGGTGACGTCCACACCTTTAAATGGTCCCATAATATTAACTGCTCTTTAAATACACAGAAGAATTGATATCAGGCCTTTGTATCCGTAGTTCTTCAGCTCCTTCCTTGCCTATTATTAAAATATGGGAATGATAATCTCCATGCTTTTGGTTTCCTGATTTGGGTAAGCTGCGCTGAGCTGTGTCAGGCTTTCCTGTTTCCCTTTCTGTCTCTCTGCTTTGGAGTATTAATTCAGTAGATCCGGTCCTGAGTCAGTTTGATTGATTATTGTCAATATTTAGTAATTGTAAATCCCGTTTTCGAGTACAGTAGGAAAATACGTGTTTACAAAAAACTTGCTGTGGAAGAAGTATTTTATTCTCAGAACCATTAAGCTGCCTTTCCTTGTAAAATGGAGTTTTAGGTGGAAATACTCGATGAAAATAATAAATTCATAGATGAGTCTTGTGTGTGTTACAGAACACAAAGAGAGGCTGGTCAGAGGAGCCTGGTATTGGGCTCATGAGTGCAGACAGTAGAGACTCCATGAGTCTGTGCCTGAGCTGGGTCACAACTTTTTTTGCATGTAAAAGATTCACATTTATTTAGTGTTAAGTACCACAGGGTGCCCATCAAGTTCATCTTTCCATCTTCTCAGTGGAAATAATAGAATAATATATTTCCTACAAAAAAAAGGCAGAGTGGGACACGAGAAGTGGCCGCGGTTCCGTTTGCTGTGTTAGATCTCACCAAGTGGTAAAGGAAAAGAGCTGTTGAGGAGAGAGAGCCTGGCAAACACCAGGCTTTTTATAAAGATTTAAAGTCAAGAATCACAACAGGCAGGAGTGTTCATAAAAATGTTGATAAAAAAAATGATGCTGGTTATTGTGCTGGAAAATGGACTTTGAATTATATTCAGTACAAACGTAGCAGGAATAATCTTGCAAGGCTGCTTCTGTTGGAGCTGTACACAGGAGACTCGGGTTCCCTTTTTGTGTATTAACTAGTTTTACATGAAATCCGTTAATTTATATTTATAGCTCTGAGTGTAAGAGTTGTATTGGAACAAGTCTTAAAGCCTCTTTTCTCATCTCCCCCTTAGATTGACGCATTGGGCAAACGCAGCAAAGAAGCAGAGGCAGCCTTCTTGAATGTTTATAAGAGATTAATTGATGTTCCAGGTAAGCAAATTATTTCCTTATTCTGAAAGACTGATGGCTCACGTTTGTGTGAATGTTATTGGGCGCTTTTTCTCCCTTTGATAAGGTAAATATGAGCAACGGTTTTATTCTGGAACTGGGATGCTCCAGTATTGTTTCTAGTGGAGAAAACTGTGACTAAGGCACATTTCATGACTTCACGTTGCATTTAATGTTTGTATAAATCAATTTATATTATTGCAATATTGCATGATCCTCGGTAATTTGTCTATGAGAGGGTTCAGACATTTTTAACACAAAAGATGCATCTTGAAGCTTCATCAAGAAACAGCAATATTTGTATTTTTAAAAGACAATATTTTTCATGCCTTCTAAAAAAAAACAAAAGAAAAGCCTTACTACTTCTGGTAGTAAATGATTACCAAATTTCAGTTCTGTGCAGTGTAAGTGGGATCATAAATTTTGTTTGAAGGCATTTATTGTACGTGTTTTCAACTTTCCTTTGTTTGGCATCCGAAGTTTCTTTGTTTGGCGTTTGGTTTCAGTTCATTTCTTTTGACATTTTGGGAGTTGATTTTTCTGTTTTCCCCAGTGGTTAGTAAATACTGTCTGAACAGATTTTTCATTTTCCAGCTGTACCCACAGCTGAGAGGGAGTGAGGAGTCCAAGTCTCCTCTGCCACATCTTGGCCTGACTGAGCTGTGGGCACATGACAGTGTGTGTGTCATTTTATACTTTTATAAAACATTGACATTATATATAATATTGAAAATACCTCAAGAGAGGTTTTGAGGAGTAGTTAATACTTTTAAGGGCTTATAAGAGTTTTTAAGGCCTCATTGCAAAGTGCACCCTGGTCTTTACTGGCTTTACCTTTTAAGGAGCACATTTCATGCACACTTCGAATAAAAATTAATTTTTTAATGTGTTGCTTTATAGATTACCTGGTTAAAAGGTCAGTGTTTCCAGATGCTCAGTCTGAGCTAAAATATATTTTTTTTATGCTTTCCTTAAACTAAGACACACATTCATAGTTGAGCAGTGCTCAGTGGACAGTCCCTTTATAGAGGTGCAGGGACTCACCATGCCCTTCCTAGCCTACAGCTGCCTTGGAAATGTTTTTTAGGTTAATCAGCCATGGTCTGTGAGGTTTTCCTTTACTTATTTCCTGCTCAGTAACGTTCCACTGAACGCTGAGCAGTTCCCTTTGCCCACCTGCTCATGCCTTGGGAGGAGGCGGATAACTCGGAGAGGGTCTGCACATCACATACAGGGTGTGGGCAGTTTGTCTGGCACGGGCAGTGTGGGCATGGGATGGAAACCCCTCCATGAGAACAAATCCAACGTTCCTGCAGCCTGTGAGTCCAGCATTCAGTGCTGGGGAGAGACACTGCAGCCCTTCCATCTCTGTACTAAGACCGGGCTCTGCTTCCTGCTGTAATTTGGGAGCTGAGTAGGTTTGATTTCGAATGGTCTGTTTCTTTTCACGACTGAGTAGTCGTGTCAAACAAGAGCTGTGTGGGATCCTTCGTGTGCTCTTGTGCAGCGACTTCTTTGTGAAGCCTGGCACTGACACAGGTGCTGGGATTTGAACAACAGGTCAGACCTAAGCCTTATGGAGAAGGAGGGATGTATGTCCCACTCGTGCTGTGGGATCTAAGTGGTGAGGGACTTTTTGTCAGGACTTCTTTGTAGGAGAAAGGCTTTTCTCTTTTCCTTCATTGGCAGGAGCAAAATTCACAGCCCTGCTTCCTCACCCCACAGCCACGTCCCCTGCGCGTGCCTTGTGTTTCGTGTCACAGAAATATTCCTTTGATATTCTTAATGCACGTAAAAATGGCAGCCTGGCTGAGCTGTGAGTGCAGTGGAGTCTGTGGGACGAGAAATACCTCCAGGTTTTAGTCCCATGCTCTGTTTACAGGGCCCGAGAGTGCAAATTCCAGGTCCTCAGGAGAAGCCCAGCCAGTCTCCCGTAGCTGCGTGCAGGCGCAGCAAATACTCCCTGTTTACAACACGCCCTGCAAGCAGAAGGGAAGCAGCCACGAGGAATGTGTGGCACTGCTCTTTGTCACAGCGTGGTGAGGCTGAGTGAGGCACATGCACTTCAGCACTTGCTCCACTGCGTTGCTCTTTTTTATTTCCCTCTCATCCCAGGTAGTCTGTAACTTTGGGTGGTATCCCTGGAAGCTTGGGTAGTATCCATGGAGTGCTCTCCTTGATGAGCAACCACCAGCACTCATTTATCACACGTGTTGTTTTGCCTCTGTGTGGCTTTACATATCTTTTGACCTGTTCATTTAGGTATTTCAAATATTTAGGTATACTTTTAGCTCCCCAGTCCTGCTCTGTTTTCTTTTCGGTGTGAGGAGGGAGCTGTGATGTTTGGAGAAAGCTATGCCTGGAATGCTGCAGAGTGGTTATTTAGCATTAAGCATCGCTGTTACATGACAAGGGTGCAATTTTATCAGACTTTCAATATCCTTTATAGGACCATATAATAATTGCAGCTGAAGTCTAATTCCCAGCAGCCAATTTTATGGTTCTTGAGGAAAGCGTGTATTTCTCTCCTCAGTAATAATGTGCACACTTTATATAATTAAAAAGGGCTTCTATTTTAATTTTACTATAAAATGATCTGTATTGAAACTCCAGCCACGGTGCTTTATGGATTCAGCTAAGTTTAATGATTTTCTTTCCTGACTTGACCAGAGTTTTCACTGAGGCTCACCAGTAAGGAATTTGTGGGAAGGGTGGTATTTTACTTGTAAATTTTCCTATATACATCAGGGGTTTTCTCTTTAAAGGATAAACCAGACTTTTAATATATCTTTCTCCAGCTTTATGATGCTGTTAAAATAGCATTATCATTGCTTTGTGCTGCAAAAATTTATCCTTCCTAAAGGAAAGTACATGTCAAGGAAAACATTTTGGTTTATGTACATTTATACAGCTGTAATTCTCACTCAGATCGTTCTGTCTTGCTTGAGACTGAACATTTTTAATTAATGGAATTAATTTTCTCATTTAATTGCCTTATTTTCAGTATGCAGTAGAGAGCTGGGGAAAAGCAAATGCTGCCACATGAATTGCACTAATCAACAAGGTTGTCAAAACTTACCTTTAAAAATAATGTGAATATATTTATTTTGAAGTAAAGGGAGGTTGGATCTGTATTTTGAGGAAGCTTTCTTCCATCTCTTCAAGATTCCTTTGTCTTTATTTTGATAAAATAAGTGCATTGTGTTAGCACCCTTAGCTTTTAGGGGCTTAATGTTGCAAACACTTAAAAGTGAAATTGGAGCCTCGTTGTGTGTTTGGAGGAGCGATGTTGCCTTGCAGAAACAGCGTATTCATAACCAAAGCTTAAAGGAAAAATATTAAGCGTGAAAAATACGAAATATTTTTATTTTTAGAAGGAACGGAGTTCGCTACTTTATTTTTTTAAAAAAACAAAACTTCACTGTAATTTTCAAGTAAAAGTTAAACCTTGGAGACCCAAATGAACACCAGGTCTGGCCAAACAGGTTAAACAGAGTTTCTCTTCCTGCTGTTTGTATCCCTGTCACAATTACAGCCCAGTGCCACAGTGGATTTGCTCAGCTCTCAGCATTTCTCCCGTTCAGCACAGCTCTTGGGCAGGCAAAGAAGAAACAATTCTGCCTTTAAACAAACTCCGCTCCCTGGAAGTGGCACAATTAAACTGAATTTGGTTCGGTCCGTAGAATAGGAAAAAACATTTCATTTTTTTCAGCATATATGTGTTTGAGGGTAAGTTAATGCAAAGTGTTTGCTCTCAGTTTGGAGGGGCTGTGCAGCCTTTTAGGGCTGAGCCATAAATGGTTTTCTTTTTGGCTTAATGGAAATTTTCTCATCAAGAAACTAAACGACTCTTGGGGTATAAAAGGGGATGTGTTTGTGGTTTTATTGGAGGCTCTTTGCAGGTCTCTGTTGTGATCAGATTTGGTGCTATATAATGTGTGTGATGTGTTTTAGCTCAGAGGACCCACTATGTAAGGAAAGTATAACATAAGAGAGGATAAAAATAAGATTTTTTTTTTTTTTTAATGTGCCCTGTCCAAACAATTAAAAGCCATAACAGTGAAAGGTGGATGAAGGGGAAATTTTATCTTTCTCTTCCTCCATGCACACTGTGCCATGGGGGCTGTGTCTTGCTAAGAGGTTTGAAGGAGGAGCAGGCTCTTTCCAAAGGAGTTTTCCACACACCCATCACTACACGTAGTATTTTTGTTTAGGTGTGAGGGATTCACACTTATGAGGTTAAAGGTGATACAGGAGAAAAACAGGTTTGATTTTGGGTCCCCCCCCCCATAAAATTATCTGCTGCTTATGCTGGAGGGGATAAATGTGTATGAGGTTGTTGTGTTTATATACATTCTGTAGCACGTTTGGATTTTTTGGTAAAGTGTAATGTTGAGCAGAAAGCAGAAAGGTTAATGCCAGTCCTGATAGCAGAAAGTCAGTGTAATACAGATTTTTACATGCCCAGATGAGCCGTGATGTGCTTAAATTTCCACATAAGCACCCTCAGTCTTTTGTGCCGATACAGAGAGATGGTCAAATGTAAATTTAGGGGAGACGTAAAGAGGGGAGGAGGAAGAGATGTTTAGGCACATCCCAAAGAAGAATAATAAAAAGATAATTTGAAAAAGTTAATACCTAGAGCACTCTTGTCTGGGATAATGGTGAATTGGTTGGCAAAACTGTCTAAAGAGCAGGATCATGTTATAGTAAACCCTGAGTTTGTGGTATGTTGAGACTGATTAGCACAGACCATTTCTGAGAAATGTTTGATATCGTTACAGTGTGAAAAATTTTAAGCAGTTCCACGTTTGTTAACAAAGTATGTGACAAAATGGTCACCCCTTTCCCAATAAAATATATTTGGATAAAATAGAAGACAGACCCATAAAATGAACAGGTTTATGGTTTTGCTGCCCTTGACTTTACAAGGGAAATGAATATTCATAACATGCCTTTTTCTCAACCTTAGAGGGAAAAGA